TTAATTTGCACAAATTAATAAATTATAGAGTAAAATATGCCAGCATCCCTTTTATTTTGTTAGAATTATAAAGACTTCTTATTTATTTTTACAACTTACACTTTAGTCTCATTAATCAAATTATAAAATTTAAATAAACATAAATACAAATTATATTGACTAATTTATCTCTTATTCTATTAATTTTTTTACAGATACGTGTTTGAAATATTATTTTAATAAACTTAGTCCATTCGTTAAAAAAATTTAAAAGATTATTTATTAAGAGTTAAATGTTAAAAAATATAAAACGTTTTTAGTGTTTGAAGGTGTAATCATTAACTTTTTTTTTTAAAACGTCCATAATGAATAAATTATTTTATATTTATTTTAGAGTGAAATACCCAATTAAATAGTAAATATGAAAAAATAATATTATTTTAAAGATAAATAACTACTTTATTAGAGGTGAGATTTGAGTAAAAATACTTTATATTTTTTAAAAGATGGAGTATGTATTTAATTTTTTAAAAAATACTACATAAATTTGATTGTATGACTAATAAATTTAAAATATAAATAAAAATTTAAAAGAATATATCAGGAATAATAACTGTTAGTTATAATTTGATGGGTGAAAATAAAAAATTAAAAGCAGGAAGTATATTAATATTTTATAACTCTTAACTATTGATTTTAAGAAATATTAGTATAAATTTTAAAAATAAAAAATATTTATAATTGAAGATAAAATAAAGAAAAATAATATTTTTTACTTTAAGATATTAAAATAATTTTTTAATATTTATTTTTATTTGTATTCTTAAAAACTAAATCTAGTTGTATACTAAATAAATAAATAAATAAATAAATAAATATATATATATATATATATATATAATTTTATAGGCAGCATACCATTGTAGAATTTTTTTTATTTATTTTAAAATTCTATATCCTGCTACCTCATCGTTCAGTGGGCTGCATCAACGATACACTCAGATAACTCATCTCCAAAGATTTGTCGTTTGGTTAATACATAACTCTAATAATTTCACTAACACATATAAGTAAGTACAGGGGATGTATCCATTCTACTACGTCATCAAGCATGCAATTTCTTCTCTTACAATTTGAGGACAAATTTCCCTACTTTTATAATTTCATTCATCTTAGATAAAGAATTATTTCTCATCCAATTAAATATTAATTCATCCGCGTTTCTTAACCTACCAAACAAGGGGAACATGCCTCTGTCTAGAGCTTGAAATATGTGCAACGTCGGACTGCTTGTTAAAGTATTTTATTGTGATGAACCTGAAATATAATTAAATATTAAAATTAATGATAATAGATTCTGATGATATATAAAAAAAATTGTGTATAATTGATGCAATAGAAAATTAATGGCTTATGGAGCCATGCTTATTGCCTATCTATGGTACCGTGTTCGATCAGCACTCAGAAATAATTTTTTTTTTTCATTTTAGTTTGGTCTGAATTAGAATTACCATTATACCCTTCACTTTATTATTATTATTATTATTGTTATTGTTATTATTGTTATTATTGTTTCTCTCCCTTCCTGGATATATTTCCTATCGGCAGAACCAGGGAATTCCGGAAAAAAATAAAAATAAAAATTGAGACCCTCCGATCCTCTCTTCTCTTCGGCTTCTTCCTCCTATCACTCGCCGGCGACCTTGAGCGCATTGTCCGCCGTCACTGGAGCTATAACAGCGTTCTTCCTTCTTCTGGTTCGCCAGTGATGCCAGGACTTCCGTTCTCCTCTGTTTCTCGTCACTCGGATCCTATTCTTTTCCTCTGTTCGTGCTGCCGCGGGTTGGGTGTTAGGATCTTCTCCTAATTCGTCTGCTCAGAATCTTCTCCTCTTCCTCAGTTCTGTCATCAGTCTCCTTTTTTTCTTCGATGCTCATCGCTCAGATTCTTCTGGTTTTGCATTGCTGCTGTTCTGGTATGGCTGCTGGGAGTTTCACTTCTCTGCCTCCATTCCTTATGTGTTCAGTTGGTAACTTGAATTTCCCCTCTTCTCTACTGACGTTGAGTTTTGTGTGTATATATGTTCAAGTGGCTGAAATTTTTAATCTTCTCTTCTCTTCCTTGTTTGGTCGGTGTGCATGAAATTGGGCTGGGTTTCTGAAATTTTGCTTCATTGTTAAATGTGCTAACAAGTTTAAATTGAATATTAGGGAGCTTGCTTGATGTTAGGTAAATTTATCATAAGTTCCGGTGGTCGTGTCGTGTGATTTTTCAGTATAATGACCGTAAATGATTGGGTACCGTAGCAGGGGGTTTGATCATGTTAAATACTTAGGTTTAAGAATGTGATTTTTAGTAGTTAATTTCTCTCATATTGGTTAATGTAAGAAGAAGAAGTTAGATTTAAATTTCTCGAGCTTTCCTTCTTAAGGATTCTAGGCCAAAGAGTGTGAATTGATGATTGAAGTCGCAAAAATTGTTTTCCCCTGTTGCTGCTGTTTGTGACTATATGTATAAGTTTATGAAGGGGAAACTTGCTTTTAGTTGAAATTTATAGTAATAAAAAGAATGAGATGATGGTGTGAATTTGAGTTTTAATTGAAAATGATTGGACTACTGATATTGTAAGGTTTTAGGAAAGTTAAAATTTAGAAGGAAAAGATTAGTACTACTTTAATAATTAATGCTCATAAGATATTCAATAAAATGTTTGTTAGGTTGGGAGAGTTTTGCCTAATCTTGTATTTCTTGAAATTTCATCAAATTTTTTGGAAGACAAAAATAGTTTGAATGCTATTATCTTGTGAATTGAGTTTAGTATTGTATAGAAATTTGATTATAAAGATAATGTGGCTTATTATATTTATTCAACCTCTAAATGTTTAAAATGAAAACTATGGCTTTAAGTTAGATGTTGGGAAGAGAGTGCATATATAAATAAATGCATTGTTTATTTAAATTTTATGTTGGCGGAATACTATAGCTCTGTGTGCTAGAGAGAAATTCGAAAAAAAATGAATATCTATTGGGGATTTATAAAGTAGAGTCATAGTTAAAAAAGTTTATTCTTCTTGTTTAGGTAATAGAGTAGTTAAGGGGGAATTGAGAGAAGCGTACTTTAGAAGAGATAAATTATTGTCTTAAACACAGGTAAGTGGACAGCATCCTAACTGATTTTTTCAATCAAAATTTCATTTACTAAAACATTACGTTTTTCTCCAAATCATTTTAATAGAAATAATGTGATTATTAAATATTTATTGATTAAAATTACTTTATTTTGAGAAATTAGCTTTATCAAATTTAAAATGCTATTTGGACTTTGATTATGAGATTTTTATTCTATTAATTAAAATAAGTTTGAACTTTGATTATGAGATTTTTATTCTATCAAATATTGGATTGATAAAGAGGATGATTCATGCTAGTTTAACTTTAAAAATGAAAACTTTATTCATTATTAATGATTTTCTTGCATATTTGCAATTTGATTTGAAAGGGACTTATTTTTATAAATTAGATTATTTGGTGATTTTACATCTCATTGGTTTTCATTCACTAATTTATGTATAATTATTTATTTTATTTATTTATTTTCTTGAAATCACGCAACAATAATATTTGACTTAAAAGTTTAGTGGTTTAAAATTTTATTTAAAGTTATATATAGATATTTTATTTTGAAGTTTACCAAATTTTTATGAAAATCATTTTCTCCAACTTACATAAATGCTTCAAACTTTTCTTTTATTCATATTCAATTGTTTATTATTGGAACGTTATTCACTGAAATTATTTTTGATCTCAGATAGCATAACTGGTGATCTACCTCTTGTTGATCTTTGTGGGGCTCGTTGTTGAATTAATGAAGAAACCTTTTGAGTATATCTTTCTTTTGTTATAAATGTTTAATTATGTACTATACTTTAAAATTATAATTACGTGCTCTACATTAATAATATATAAGATTTTGATATGTTAGCTATTTGTCTATTTGTTGTGGAGGAGCAGAGCTCCGAATTCCTAATTTGGGTTGTATATGGCTGTTATAGAAACTTTAAAAAGCCTTATTTTTTTAGGGAGATTTTGATGGATTTTTTTAACACAAAGTTTAGAAATTGTTTATTTATACGAAAATGTTATAATGATTTTTTATCCTATTTCAAATGAATTAAAATATTATATTAAAGTTTTCTTGATCAAGGTTTAAGGGGTATATGTTTGTGCATATATCCGTGCCGGTCATGTCTAATTTTTGGGGCATGACATTTATTTTTTTGGTTCATATTTTTAAAATTAGGATAATTTGGTACAAAATGACTTATAAGCTTGTAAAAACTGAGCTCATGTTTAAAGCCTACAAAATTAGGATACTTTTTATATTTTGGGATGAAAATTAGATTTTATAATGTGTTTATAATTTAAATTTAAGACTTCTTTTACTTATTTTCGATGTTATAACAATTTAATTTATATTTTATAAAATAAATATGCAATATTATAATATTAAATTTAATTTTAGTCAAAAAAATAAAAGAGAGCTTTTTGGTCGAGCTTGAAGTAACGGTCAATCTTGAAGTGAAAAAAAAAAAAAAAAGACTCCTGAACTTGAGCCACCATTAATAGCCAAAATACGTCCTTCTCCCAAATCCCAATTCTACCTGCATTCCTTTTGATAAGTACCAGTTAAATATTTTACTTAAATTAAGCAAGGTAATTAAAATTAGTTGATTGTTAAAAGTCTTAATTATTTAGAATTACCCGTAAGCGAGTAAGAAAGAAAAAAAGAAAAGAAAAGTCTTTTAATTTCTCACCAAAAGCTGCATTTTTTCTAAATTCGTCATAAATATTACATCAAATTTTATTCAAAAAATGTATTAATAATTAATGGAAGGAGTTTTAAAAATATGATCGGAAGGTGTAGTAATTATCTACTGTTAGGCAAGTTCGTTCTAATTACACTCTAAAGGAATGTGATTTAATATAGTAATTATCTACTGTTAGGCAAGTTCGGTCTAATTACACTCTAAAGGAATGTGATTTAAAGATAACCTTTTACAGGATAAACTCGGTTAATGCTGCCAATCGTATTTGTCGAAACTTACAACGGTTACTTCATCTTACGCCCTTAGATTTGAATTACTCTAACACTATATAAAGTCCCACGTGCATTCAGTAAAAACAAGTCAAGCAGATTCCATCTGAAGCATTAAATTCAAACTAAGCCATGAAGATTCCATTACTGTCACTGATCCTTCTCTTTGTTGCCTTGAGCACGAAGCCACTGCTCGGAGCCGCCGCCAAGGCACCGGAGGCGGTGGTTGACACTCTTGGCAAGAAGCTCCTAGCTGGCTCCAATTACCATATCATCGCAGCTGACCCTTCCCAAAACGGCGTCGGGATTACGGTGCCAAGCTCCGGCGAGTGCATTCTTCATGTCGTGGTCGCACAGGATCTGGGCCTTCCAATATCGTTTACTCCAGTTAACCCTAAGAAAGGTGTGATACGTATATCCACTGATCTCAACATTCAGTTCAATGCAGATATAGACTGTCCCCAGTCAAGTGTGTGGAGGCTTGACGACTATGACGGTTCAACTAAACGGTGGTTCATAACGACCGGCGGTTCTGTGGGAAACCCGGGATGGCAAACGGTTCGGAATTGGTTCAAGATTGAGAAGTTTGAAGATGCTTATAAGCTGGTTTATTGTCCGAGTGTGTGCGGTTCTTGCCAGGTTCAGTGCAAGGATATTGGGTTGTATAAAGATAAGGTTGGGTTCAAGCGTCTCGTTCTCAGTGATAAGCCTTACAAAGTTCAGTTTCAGCAGCAGGCCTGAAGATGAACATCCTCCGATAGCATATATACTTGAGAATGATGTACTGTTTGTAATCCTTAAAGGATCGATATCACTGATCCTTTGCTTCACTAGGCTATGGAACTTGGGTCCTGAAAAAATATAGACATAAATAAAAGCTTTTCCTTTTATTAAACTTACATATCTTTTTTTTTTTGACATATCTTTGCAGCTTATTAACAAGATTTATATATAGTGACACATTTTATTTCACGCGTCTGATTTACTCAATGTTCATTTAAATCACATGGTAAGAGAGGGCTTGATCTTAGGAGCTTCGAGAGTACTTGGTAGCTGAGAGGTTATGATTCACTAAAGCTCAGGATCATGGGTAGCCTCTTATATTATGAGCTGCACTCTGTAAATTAAATGGTGGTCTTATACTGTTGAAGTGATTCTTTCATGTCGAATTTGTGCTTAAGAACCTGTGTGACAGAGAAAGAGAGAGCGGGACTGCGCCAAGTGAACAAACAAAGCTTATGAGTCGTTGGGATCGAAATTGTTTGGATTTGAATGTTCTCTGCACTCTCTCCTTCAATATTGGGAGAGCTAATTACATTGTTCAAAATTATATATATATCAATAATATGTTTTTTTAATTTAGTGGGCTCTTGCAATAATTTTCATAATTTTTCAATTTTTCTTTACAAACTTGATTGAACTTTGTGCAAGTTTAGAAAGTGGGCATGATCATAAAAATAATTTAAGTTATTAATATATATATATATATCTATATTTATATATTGATATAAAACATTATTATCTATACACACACATATTGTTGCAACGGTTAAAGGCATATATAAGAAATACTTGCTCATTTATTGGTATGTTGGAGATAGTTTAGAACCAACAATTGTAGCTTAGAGCTTAGTACAATCGAGGGAAATAATGTCCTTATGAGGACAAGTCACATTATTCAGATGATCGCTACACTAAGTTAAAATTCGAGATAATGATGATGCCATGGATGCTGATATCTTTCTCTTTGATGAAGAACCCATTCTAGATGAAGAACTCATTTCAAATGAGAAGCAACACGTTTCAGCTACACAGTCCCTGGGTATCATTCCAGCAACTCAAGAAAACATTGAGATGAACATGATTATAGATGAAGCTTTGCCATGTGGAACTACTGTTCAACCAGTCTCTAAGATGACTCAGCCAACTACCGTTAAAGCTCTACTTGCGGCTACTGCTCCTTCATTCAAGGATAAGCTCCTGCATGCAACTACCTCATCAACCGAGGAAGATGATGAGATACAACTAGGTAAGGAGGACGTGACACTAGGCTTGAACAAAGGAATCCCCACGATAAATTTCTCTAAAAAAGTCCTTGAAGTTCTTAACAAGAAAATGGGATTTGCAATTGTGGTGAAACTACTTAGCAGAACCGTAGGATATCGAGCCCTGAGGACACAGCTTCAAAATATATGGCGTCCCTCCGGCCAGTTTCAAGTCACCGATCTTAATGAAGGGTGCTTCATCGTCAAGTTCAAAGAAGAACTAGACTTCCAAAAGGTCTTTCTCAGTGGCCTTTAGCTAATCTATGGTCGCTACTTGACAGTTCAACCTTGGACGCCCTTTTTCAGGCCACAAGACCTTATTATTAATTAGGTGATTGGATGGATCAGACTGCCTAGATTACTAGCTCGTTATTATCACAAGAATATTATTAGATCCATTGGGAGCATCTTTGGTCAAGTTATTAGGATTGACTATAATACCGACTCAAGGGATTGGGGGAAATTCACACGTTTAGCTGTTATCATTGATCTCACCAAGCCACTCACCTCAAAAATTCAGGTTGATGGCAAATTTATCTATGTTGAGTATGAGAACCTTCCTCTCATCTGTTACCATTGTGGATGCTATGGACATCTACAAGATAATTGCCTAACAAAAATGGCAGCTAGCGGCGAGGGAGGTCAACAGATGGCGGTGACAGTCCCGGAAAAAGAACGGGGCGTGCGTGCCAGTATAAAGTACAGAGAATGGATGCATGCCTCCAAACAAGGGCACAGGTATGATAGAGAAGGCAGTAGGGAGGATCACTTGACAAACCAAGGGATAGCTACGTCCTCAAGGTTCCATGTCCTAAATGACGCTGTTGAGGATGAGGGGGAACGCCACAATATGTATGAAAATGTTAAACCACATTATGGTGGAGTGAGCACTAGCTGAAGGCCAAAGACAAAAGAGACAAAAGCTATCCCAAAGGTTAATTAACAGAGACTGACTAATGGTAAAGCAGTATCACCCAGTCAGGATTGTACCTTTAATAAGCCTAGCTACAAAACTATGCAAGGTCCCACAACCCTTGATACGACATATAACCAAGTCGTCTTGGTCCAGGACAGCAGGGTCCTACAAAAGATTCAACACGACTACAATCAATCATCTACCTTGGGCTTACCATCATATGCAACAACCCAGTTTACCCATACTAGACATTCAAACCCCCAGCCCAAACCCCTTGATCCTTTGGCTAAGAAAAGAGGTATTCATCTATCAACTGGGTTGAAAATTAAAAACTTGAAAGACAAGCCTAATGATAAGCCCCTTAGTCCATCTGTTCGAGTAATGAAGGAAATTGCCAAAAGCCTCTATGAGGAGTAGACACAGATTATCACTAACAAAGCTATTGCCATGCTGGTCAAAGGAGTTGACTTTAGCTCAACTTCCAAACACTAATTCCTCTCCATAATTATGTCTATCTTTGTTTGGAATTGTCAAGGTGCCTTAGATAAAAGGTTTCCTTCAATTATGAGATCCTTTATATCTAATTATAATTGTAAAATTTTTGTCATTATAGAACCTCAAATTTCAAGAGCAACAGCTGATAAAGTTATTAAAAAGCTTGGGTTTCACTTCTCTCATAGAGTGGAAGCTTCAGGCTCTTGTGGTGGGATATGGATTCTCTGGACTGATAGAGTAAGCATTAATATCATCAAGAACCATGTTCAATTTATCCACATGGAAATCTCATACCTTCCAACTAGAAGGAATTTCCTATTTATAGTAGTTTATGGTAGCCCACAGCCATGCTATCAAAAATTTCTTTGGCAAGACTTATCTCAACAAGTTTTAGACTCTTCCTTGCCTTGGCTTTTAGATGGTGACTTTAATGCCACCATTAGCAGTGAGGAAAGAAAAGGAGGTAGAGGCTCTGGTAGACTTAATAATGGCTGTAACCTTTTCAAATATTTCATCCAGGAGCATGGCCTTATTGATTTGGGCTATAATTGTCCAAAATTCACTTGGAGGAGAGGTACTCTAATGGTTTGACTAGACAGGGCTTTGTGTAACCAGGCCTGGTTTAATTCTTTTCATAACAGTTGGGTTGATCATCTGCCAAAGATTATTTCAGACCACATGCCCATCTTAATTCATTTAGGTCCATATCAACAGATTTTCAATAGTTAAAGCCTTCAAGTTCTCTGCGTTTTAGGCCACCCATCCTGATTTTCCCTCTTTAGTAAAACGTTGCTGGGTCTAAAATCGCAATATTATTGAAAATATTCAGATTTTCTCCTTGGAAGCCATGAAATGGAACCAATAGACCTTCGAAAACATCAGGAGAAAGAAAAAGCAAATGTTAGCAACGCTTGGGGGTGTGCAACGCAATCTGGAATCACCTCCCTTCTCTAATTTTCAATTGAAACTTGACCAATCTCTACAAGAAGAATATGAGGATAGATGTCTGCAAGAGGAGTTACTGTGGCTTCAAAAATCATCATCTAATTAGATCAATTTAGGTGATCGCAACACATCCTTTTACCACACCAAAGCCCTTATTCGACAACACAAGAATCATGTCTCCCAACTCAAGAATAGGCAAGGAGAGTGGATTGAAGATGAAAGTCAGCTCTCAAATATGGCTTGGGAATTCTTCCAAAATATGTACAGCCTAGATGACACAGAATTCAATCCGTTTCTAGTAACGGGTGCCTTCCCAAAACTTAGTAATTCTTCTTTTATTGAGTTAGGAAAAATGATTTCTCTGGATGAAGTTAAAAGAGCTTTGTTTGTGATGAAACCTTTAAAAGCTCCTGTAGTAGATAGGATTCATGCTTTTTTCTTTCAAAGCTAATGGGATGTGGTAGGAGAAAATCTATTTCAATATATTCGAGACTTTTGGCTAGGTTAACCTCTAGACCCTTCAATAAATCATACTCTTATTGCACTAATACCTAAAGTGAACAAACCTCAATACCTACATGAGTTTCGCCCTATCAGTCTCTGCCTTGTCATATACAAAATCATTACTAAAGCAATTGCCAATCGCCTGAGTAAGATTTTGCCTCATATTATCATGCCTTTCCAAACATGTTTTATCTAGAATCATAGCATTATTGATAATATTATAATTGCATAAGAAGTGATTCACTCAATGAGGAAGAAAAGATGAAAAAGTGAATGGATGGCAGTAAAGATTGATTTAGAGAAGGCTTTTGATAAATTGAGATGGGATTTTATACAAGACATACTTATTGATATTGGCATACCCAACCATTTGGTTGACCTTATAATGAGCTGCATTACGACTTCTTCTATACAAGTCATCTAGAATGGAAACCCACTACCAGCTTTTCACCAAAGAGAGGAATCAGACAAGGTGACCTACTATCACCTTATATTTTTATTCTTTATATGGAAAGACTCTCTCAAGCCATTATGTCAAAAGTTTGGTCAGGTGCTTGGCATCTAATTAAATTGGGTAGGAGTGGCGTCTCTCTTTCACATCTATTTTTTGCAGACGATCTAGTTCTCTTTGGGGATACTTTAAACTCTTAGATTAAGATTCTTAAGAAGGTTCTTTACCAATTCAGTCTATCTTCTGGGCAAGTTGTAAATCATTCTAAATCTTACATTTATTTCTCAAGAAATGTCTTTGATCCAACTTCAAAAGCTATATGCTGTAGATTGGGGTTCCAATGAACAACCAACCTTGGTACTTATCTTGGAGTTCCTTTGATTATTGGGCAAGTTTCAAATAGAACTTATAGTCATATCTTGGATAGAATTCAAAAAAAACTAGTAGGGTGGAAAAGTAAAACTTTGACTCTAGCAGGACGCATCACTCTAGCTAAGTCTGTGGTGACATCCATTCCCTTTTACACCATGCAAAGCACACTGCTTCCATCCTCATGTTGCAAAGAGATTGAGAAAATTATAAGGAAGTTCATCTTGGGTTATTCTGAGAGACATAGAGGAATAAGTCTTATCAACTGGGTAGACCTATGTCATCCTCTTTCTCATGGTGGCTATGGGCTTATAAACCTTGAGGGGCAGAACAAAGCCTTCCTCTCTAAGTTGGCATATAAAATTGTTGCAAAACTAGATTTACTTTGGGTATGTGTATTAAGAGGTAAATATGGCATCAAGGATTTGGCCTCCTCTCACATTTCATGAAACAACCCATCCTACCTCTGGAGGAGCATTACAAGTGAATGGGCTGACACCATGATGCATGTCAAGTGGAAGCCAGGAGATGGTCGCAAATTGAAATTTTGGAATGACTTTTGGATAGGGGACTTAGGACCTCTAAAGAATCTCTCATATGCTGATATTGATTCAATTGAACAGCAAAAGCCTATCTCTTGCTATCTCAAAGAGGATGGACAATGGAATTGGAATCTCTTTAGTCACCACTTGCCACACTCTATTTTGCAGCAAATTAGTGCTATGATTATATCCTCCATTGAATTAGGTCCCTCTTGCTTCTGGCACCTTAACTCTGATAGGACTTTCACGATCAAATCTGCATATCAAGCCTTTCAATTTGCCAACTGGAATCATGAGGATATAAGATGGAAAAAGGTATGGAGACTTCCAGTTGCTCAATGTGTTAGGACCTTTATTTGGTTGTTACTCAAAGGCAAACTACTCATGAATGCTGAACGCTATTGGAGGAAGATGACTGAAAATCCTCTTTGCTCAGTTTGTGATGACATATCAAAGGACATCAATCATGTTTTCAAGAATTGTTCCTTCGCAGCATCGGTATGGAAGAAGATCCTACCCACAGACATGTATGCTAAATTCTGTAAAGATAAGGTTGACACATGGCTGCTTAACATAGTTCTTTCTAAAAGAATTGGTACTTCCTGGAAAGTGGGCATCAGTATTATATGCTGGAAGTTATGGAAGTCAGGAACTAAAGGATTTTTACTGACAAACATTTTGAAGTGGGTTCCTTCCTAATGCATACTAGAATTCTAGTAGACCATACTCTTAAAGTTGCTAGAACTTTTAAGTCTTTGACGTAGCTGGCTTTCGCCACTTGTATCTGTACAGTTTTCTCTAATGAATTTCCACTTTCCACTAAAAAGAAATATTACTTGTGTGGAAAAGGATCTTTAAGCTGCCAGCTGGAACTGAACTTTGTATGGCGCATCAGTGATTGCAAGACGTTGATTTCCATCTGCATTAACGTAAATGCCAATATCTTTGCACTGAACATTGCAGTAGCTGCACACTGTTGGACAGTACATCAACTTATAACTTTCTTTGCACTTCTCAATCTTAAACCAATTGCTCACTGTTTGCCACCCTGGATTCCCCACAACCCCACCTGTTGTCACGAACCACTGTCCCGTAGTATCATCGTAGTTGTCGAGTTTCCATTCGTTGGACTGAGGACAATCTGTATCGGCAGAGAACACGATGTTCAGATCAGTAGAGACACGAATGACACCTTTCTTGGTGTTGACCGGAGTAAACGACAATGGCAGACCGGGATATCCCTGCACTTCCACAACATCCATTGGGCACTTTTCTCCGATGCTTGCAAGTGCAAGGCAACCACCATTTGCCGGAAGTATGTAGTAATTGGCACGGGCTCGGAGCTTTTTGCCAAAAGTATCGACCACTTGCTCAAATGGCGGACCGGCTGCTCCGAGCAAAGGCTTTGTGCTCAGGGCGAAGAGAAGGACGAATGCTACTAATGTGAGCTTCATTCTTTAATTTGAATGCTTCCAAACTAGCTTTGAGAGTTTATAGTTTGGTTACTGATGAGAGATGAAGAGCAGTGAGCATGAATTTATAGCTAAAGCATGGTCGGAATCTGTGGACTATAACATGCAATTATAGTCAAGGATTTCGACTTTTCTGAACTCCTGTGAGAAGACTCTTTGAGCGTTCATCTTCGGATAAAGTTTAATGTGTCTCACCCCGATTCCTGCCTGACAATTTAGTATATTTAGCTAGTTTCTAACTCAACACAGTTGAAAATTTATGTATGGGTTTATATTAATTATATTATTATTTGTTAAAACGGGTTAACTGATGATCCTGGAAATATTAAAGTCTAATTGAGTTATTTGTGTTCATATAATTGATGGGCTCAACACACGATCTGTTATTAAATTTAGTCAGATAAAGTGTTGGCCATTAACCTTACTAAATCCTAACTTAGTGATGTGTGCTTCCCCACTAAGGGTCACATAATTCTAAAATAATATAAGAAGGGAGAACTTGTGCCACGCCCCGTAAATAGAGGGTGACCGACACGGGTGTGAACCACTCACACATTCCCGTAAGCCCCAGAATGAACATTTATTCCATTTTACAAAAGAAAAGAAAAAAATTAATCAAATTACATGAGAATTAAAATAATTCCTTTAAACTCATTATCATAAGAAAGTGTCGACGTTTTTGTAGAAATTTTGGTAGAACCTCCCCTATAATTAGGATCTCCTGAAAATTCTACAATAAAATTTTTTACAGACAACAGTATAAATCAGGAGCGTAACTCCTTCCAGCCAGCAACCAATATACAAACTAAAACAAAGTCTATCAATAATCTATGTGGAGCATTTACTCTTTTTTTAAATCAAAAAGACATACAAATTATATATTTACACTAAAAGCAACAGTACCAATCAAAAATTTCCACCCACTGTAGCTAGTTTGCCCTTCAGAGGTCAAGGGGGATCAGCATCAGCTAACAAATTTGAAACCAAAATAAGTTTTCCAGTGAATAGCATTCCCATGATAAAATTCTTAAAATTTAAAATCAACAAACTCTAATAATGGTGTCAACTAATTAAAATAATTCCTCAAAATTTTATAAACCTGTAAGTCATAACCATAATTGTAAAATATGAGTAAGTTAAAAACAATTTACGCTATCATGCTTAAAGAAAAAAATTTACTCACATATAATTCAGAGTGGTAAAATTGTTAGCCAAAATCATGTAAATTTTGAAAACACATTAATTAACATTTAAAATTTTGAGAACTTAACAGAACAGGTTATAAACGTGAACACACAGTCCACAAGGGTAAATAACCAAACGCGGCTTATGCCATGAAAATAAATGTGGACACCCAGTCCACGAGGGTAAGTAACCAAACGCAGCCAAAGCCACGAAACAAATGTAGACACACAGTCCACGAAAGTAAATAACCAAACGCGACTCAGGCCACGAAATCAAATGCGGGTACAAAGCCCACGAATATCAAACGTGATAACACAACTCATGGACCAAACTAGCTAGTGTTTAACCACAGCGCGCTACGGGCTAACGGAACTGCCGTTAGCAGCAGTGTTCTGTTTAGAGTCCTCTCAAAAATTGCATTTCAAACATGCGAGAAGATTAATTATTTTTGAAATACAATCTGTGTTTTCAATACCAAACTCACAAGCATCATTTTAAATTTCAATTTAAGACTTGTTGAAAATAGTCTTTCATAAAATAATATACAAGCTTGCGTTATCTAAATAATCAAGGATTTCAAGAGTTTAATGAACCAAATAATTTCATAAATCTTTGAAATGTATTCCTTGAGAAAATAAATGCATATATCATCCTTTAACCATCTCACATCGATATTTCTAAGTTTCAAAACTAATGCAATTCACAAGAATAAAATATCTCAATGAAAATCTATTAAAATAAAAGTACTAATAAAATAAATTAAAGAAAATGCTATTCACTTACCTGTTACAGTTTCAAATCTCCAATTTTTTTTTCCAATTTCTATCAAGATCCTCTTCTTTTACACGTCCTATTAAGACATAAAATTTCATAATTACATTTCTTTGAAGTGTATAAATTCATTCATAATTCCATATCTTTCATATTCTTACTTCTCCTACTAGATACTCTTTCGAACACTTATGGTTATATTTTCCCAAGCTAAGACTACCCTTTCCTTTCAAACTTCAGCTTCCATACATCTTATAATACCAATATCCATTCTAATCCTAAGAACCAACAAAATTTCATACACTAAAAATCAAGTTTAATTCGTCTTACAAATATTGTAACAACCATCTCATAGGCACAAATTTCAAGTTTTACACTTAAGCTCTTTCTCTTTTAAATCCATTATAACAATTATTCTAGACTAACCAACTCAATAATTCAACTTAGCTTGGATATTTTGAACTATATGTAGATCATTGTTAGACCTCAGGATATATATTTTCCAAGCTCCATTGAATTTCTTTCTTCTTCCATTTTTAGCACGGTAGCAAGACCACAAAAATTTATAATCCCCTTAACACCATCCCAACCACTCACACTCACAGATTTACGAGGAGAAGGAAGAGATTGAAGCTTCTAACTTTAAATGAATCAACATGCACAAACAGAGAAAGGAGAACAACTTTGAACAGTGAAGAAGAAGGGCTGTCACCATGAATGAAGGAGAAGAGTAAGCTTACCAGTAACCGAAAACAAACCAAAAAGGAAGAAATCTTAGCTCACCCAAAGCATTTGTACACACACAAACAATAAGGTAAAAGAAAGAGAGATTTTTCTTACTTGAATCAGTGACAGAGGCGGATGAACAGCAGCAACCTGTGAAAGAAATCATAGCTGAGGCGAACGGACGAGCACAACGTCAACGGTGACCCACGTGAACGATGGTGCTAGCTACAGTTGAGGAGGAAGAAGATAGTGATTGGTGAGAGGTAGACCAAAAATGTCAGTCCTTCCCATATCTCTCTTTGCTCCAAAATAGTCGATAAAGAAGGAAGAAAGAGTTTTAAAAAAAATCTGATGGAAATAAGGGTAGTTTGGTAATTTCGCACAGCAAAGAAAAGAAAAATTAACTCTTCTTCTGGCCTCTTTCATATTCGAACTTGTGACCTAATACATGAAGGCTTGTTTAGCTACCACTACACTAAGTCTCTAACTTGTTATATTTATCCCAAGAACTAATATAAATACCTTTTAAGCAAATTAACTTATATATATATATATATATATATATATTTATTTATTTTAAATTTTGTCAGGATTATTACACCTTGGTTGAATAGCCCATCACATACCAGGTTTGCAATTCTATCTTATGTATGTTTGTTTGGTTTCTTATCATATACACTAGATTCCAATATAACGTGTGCTAATCAGATCTTACATAACTTTTGCTTTGTTCGTGATAAGTCCATGGGCTGTAAAGAGGCTGTTTTCTGCTAGCTGGGATTCTCTTAAAAAGTTGAAGCTCGCAATTTGCAAAATTTGTTGATGAATGATATTAATGTTCAAATGGTGAAATGGATCATTACAAATCCGTCAAGAGCAAAGAAGAAATATGTCTGATTGTCTGATAATTATAACCTTTCCCAATCTTCATGTTTAGTTTGAGTTGGTACTGAAGTATTTTGTTTGAATGAAAGAAAATTAGACTAATTTAAAATATAAATAAACATATTATATAATTTGAATGAAAGAAACTAGATTATAGAATAACGAAGAAAATAGTAGAAAGTTATTGAGATCATATTACAATATTATAATTATTGCTGAACTATAAAACTCTAATAATACCACATTATTCATTGAGAAAATGACAATTAGAGTCTCTATAGGAACATTGATTACAATTACAAACCCTAAATTATTAAAAACCAAATAACAGATCATGGTTCTTAATTACTTGTAATGAAATATTTTTTCTCGATTGGTTTAAGATTTACAATTAACTTTTGTAAATTCTCAACTATGCTACAAAGATTCTCAAGTATCTTTTGTTAATTTCTTAAGCGATTTAATATTTATATATTGATAGCAAAAAATTACAAGTAATTAGCTTAGAATTCATAATTGATTCTTGTAAATTCTCTACTAATGTTAAAATAATCCCAGATATATTATGTAGATTTTTCAAGCAATTTATGTATATATTGATGGCAAAAAATTACAAATGATTGGTTTGTATTTCATAACTAACTCTCATAAATGTGCAACTAACATTACCAATAATTTCAAGTATATCTTATTCATTTCCCAATTAGTTTATTTAAGCAAAAAATTGAAATTCTTAACTAACTTTCGTAAATTCTAAACTAATATTACAAATAATCTCAAGGCTATTTTTTTGACTTTCCAACTAATTATTCATATTTTTTAATTACAAGTAAGGACCATGATCTATTATTAAGATTGTAATAATTCAAGGTTTATAATTGTAATTAATATTCTTACAAGGTCTCTAATTATCATTTTTCCTTATTCATTTGCGGTCAGAATTTTTGCTATGTATATACAAGACTCATATCTGGTATTCTAGATATAAAAATTAGTGATGTTTAAATTATATATATGTATATATATATAATTACCATAATTTTTGTACCAACAATTACCATAATTTATACTTCATCCATTAAAAAATGTAAGGCATTTTTAATCGAATCTCACCCCCAATAAAGTTCTTACCTACTTTCAAATTATTCCTATTTTTTTATATTTATTCCTATTAACTATCCTATAATAAATATAAGTCACTGTCTATAGAGACACTTTTGAAAAAAAGACAATAATTATATTCAAAAAACTAAAAATGCCTTATATTTTTTAACATCCAACTCCTCAAAAAATGCTTTACAATTTTAAATGGAAGGAGTACTAGAAAGGTTGCTAAATGAACCATGTCTAATATATGTATAAAATATCACTAAGAGTTTGCTGGTGAAGTAGCTCCAGTTCTTCGTCCCACCACCTTTAAGAAAAAGCGAAGGTAGACACTAGACACTAATTGTAAAATTAAAATAGGCCAAGTGATACTGACACTTGACTCATTTCTAAACTGGAGGATTCAATTTTCAAATTTAGAGTGGGACCATTTCGGGCGGAAAAATATAAAAATAAAAAGAAGACACTTTGCAATTTGCAAAATATAGTTGACAATGCTTCCAATTTGCAATATATATATATATATATATATAGTAGGTGGTTATTTTCATTCATATGATCAATCTAAAGCAAAAAATGATACTTAAGAGATAGTGAAGAAAATTATTTTGAAGTTTATCAATTGAAATGTTATCAAGGATTAATATATATCCCATTCCTTACACATATAATTAATATTTTTCATTAATAACTTTATGCAAATTGGTCATCATCATCTTTTTCAAAAGAATCCCAGCTGCAAATCAACTTCTTTCCTTTAAAAAAAAAATGAAAACCCCCCAAAATTCAAAATCGAATCTTTGTTGCTTTACAATGGTTCCTTTGTCTTTATCCTTTTCTAGAAAGCGAAGAAAATGAAAATATAATATATTTACCCATAATATATCAAAGCCCGTGGGCTTCTCGCGAATGTAAAACATAGTTAGTGGTAAATTAGGGAAACTTAGGTAGCCATTAAGTTTTCTTTTAATGAAATGTAGTCTGTGTAGATTCATTATCTAATATACAATAATTAAGCAGTTAATCATTGTCTGTACTTTTTTTTAATAACCATCTAACTCTATCAGATTTAAATATTGTCCGCTTCAATTAGGTATAGATTTTTCAAAGACGTTTTCCGTTTTGACATATACTTGAACATTTTTTTTTTGGCCAACATGTACTTGAACTTGAGACATTGTATTTAAGCTGTCTTTCATTAGTCCTTTTCATTAAGATCAATGGCTGTTGGTTTATTATTGCTCGTATTCTTTTCTCATTCAAAATTAGGATGCAAATTTCACAGCTATAAATTATATTTTATTTCATTATGCTAACCAAAGAGCTCTTGTAAACACAAAGTACTGTATAGTATCGTTAGGTAGGAAGTGAGACTCACTATCACAAAATACAGAGGAAGAGAGGAATTAGTGCCATAAAAATGCTTCAGAAGCAACTTGGTATGAAAAGAAGACAATATCTATCGATCAACCAATGGTATGAGTCGAAATCCTTGACTGTCATTGCATGTATAAGTCCATGGATTCCGACCACGTTTCTACTATAAATTCATGCTCAATTCTCTTCATCTCTCATCACAAACCAAGCTTGACATACAAAGCTATATTTTGGAAGCATTCAAATCAAACAATGAAGATCACATTAGTAGCATTTGCCCTTCTCTTCGCCCAGAGCACAAACCCTCTACTTGGAGCAGCCGGTCCGGCACCGGAGCAAGTCGTTGATACTTCCGGCAAAATTCTCCGAGCAGGTGCCTATTACTACGTAATTCCATCTCCTAATCCAAACGGCGGGGGCCTTGCTCTCGCAAGCATAGGAGAAGCGTGTCCACTCGACGTTGTGGCGGTGCAGGGATATCCAGGCCTGCGATTGTCGTTTACTCCGTTCAACACCAAGAAAGGTGTCATTCGTGTCTCTACTGATCTGAACGTCATGTTCTTAGCCGGCACAAGTTGTCCTCAGTCCGACGTCTGGAAGCTCGACGACTACGATGATACCACTGGACAGTGGTTCGTGACAACCGGTGGGGTTATGGGGAATCCTGGACCACAAACAATGAGCGATTGGTTTAAGATTGAGAAGTACGAGGAAAGTTATAAGTTGGTGTACTGTCCTACTGTGTGCAGCTACTGTAACGTTCAATGCAAAGATATTGGCATTTACGTCGATTCAGATGGAAACCAGCGTCTTGCTCTGAGCGATGAGCCATACAAAGTTCAGTTCCAGAAAGCCTAAACATCTTTTCAACGACACTAAACCGTTTTATGAATAATGTAATTTGTCCTTAGTGGGACATTGTTCTCCTTGCTTATTCCCTAAGTAGAGTTCCTTGCATATGTACTCCACTAATTATGAGACAATAAACAAATGAGCTAGTATTTTCTCTTGTTTCAGGTGTCTTCAATTGTGTGTGTGTGTGTGTGTGTGTGTTTTTTTTTTTTTTTTTAAGTACTGCACGCACATTAATTTGGCCGGTCTATAGCTTGCCATCAATGATTTGGTGAAGTCCACTTACATATATAGATGGATCTGGTTAAGGGCAGTAGTCCCCGAGTTTAGTTGGAAGAGTAATATGGAGGAGTTGATTACGGAATTACACGTATACACAACTTCACATTTTTATATATGATGATGGAATAACATTTCAATGAGTCTAGTCAAAAAGAAAAAGAAAAAGAAAAAGAAACAAAGAAAGCATTCGAAAGTTTGAGGCTTAGCATGTGCAAAGCCCCTAGCACATTTTATTTTAGTTTGAAAGAATTATGCCATTTGCCAATTTAGGATTCATAATTTGTTATTGGGATTAATTGTTTATTATTTTTTTTACTTGTTAATATTTAATGTCATTACTGATGATGGTATTGTTACTTGAGTCTTGAGGTCATAAAATATGCATGACTGATTTAATTGGAGCGGTTGTTTTGTTATGAGATTTATTGAGAGAAAAAATTTGAAGAATTGAATTGAATTATGCCACGCATGTCTACGGTTTTTTTTTTTTAAATTTAAATCTCAAGTCAGAATATTTATTCAGGATCATTTTTGTTTACCATTATATATATTTTTCTATCATAGTAGGAATTGTTCTCGATTTAAATTGTATGTTGAAATTTTTATAACTTTGGAAGCCTTTTACACTAGTTTGATCTTTTTCTAATCTTAGTTTTAAAGTATTTGTTTAATAGGCCAAACTTCTATTATCGTGGTAGCTTTCTAAAATGTAGTTTAACTCTTTTTTTTCCATGATTACTTTTTAAATAAATTGAAACACTGGACGTGAATTTTTATACTATAGCAATCATTTTTGTAGGTTTAATTCTTTATTACCATGGTATTTGTCTAAGGTTAATTTTGAATTGTAAGATTAGGTGTTATAATAAGTCTAAGATAAGAAAATATTATGTGTATTATATTTTTTGAAAATAAAATATTAAAATTGAAGTAATAAAAGAGAAAAAGACACACACTATGGGGAGACTGCATTTGGCGCTCCCTACCTCTGATGAGATATTGACCAACTAGATTTAATATAAATGATTTAGATTTAAGACTTTTCATTTTTATTTTATATTTATCATAATAAAAATTTATAAAATTTAAATAAATAAGTTCATCAGCAATTTGAACTGTTTACATTTAACTTAGATGGTCTAAATTTAATATTAAATTTTTTAATAATTTTTATAAATTGACTTTGCAAACTTACTTTGGATGGTTCAAATATAAAACTTTTAATTTGTAATTTTTTTAGAATTTTCAATTAAGAGATTAAATTTATTTTTAATATTGTATCTATCAAGATAAAAATTTGTAAAAGTTATAAAAAAATTTAATATTAAATCTAGACTGCACGAAGTAAATCTGGATATCAATTAATAAAAATTATAAAAATTTTACTCTTAAACTTGAACAATCCAAACAAAATTTTATACATTCTGATAAATATAAAATTAAAATTAAAAATTTAAATCAGAAGGATTCAGAGTAAATTATAAAAATTAAGAAAATTTTTGAAATTTACTAATTTTCTCTTTGCACTTTTCTAGGAAGCCAATAAAATAAAAATTTAATATGTTTACACATAATATATCAAAGCCTACGGGCTTCTCGCATATATAAAACAAAGGTTTTGGTCAGTCAATGGGAAAGTTAGGTTGCCAATAAGTTTTCTTTAAATAAAATATAATCTATTTGTAGGTAAATTAATTCATTTGGTCTTATTTATCAATTACTTTCAACATTTTTACTAGAATCAAGAAAAATTTTAAATTTTATTAATTCCTTCTAAAAATTTGACAAGTTTTTAACTTTAGCTGACTCTTATTAAATATACATATTTTAAAATTAAACATTTCAATATTTAATAATCTTCCATACATTTCATAAGGACAAAAAAGTAAAAATGGACACAAAAATTATTGAGATATCCTATATAAACATGATTAAAAAAATGCCCTCTCACTATAAATAGGATTGGGGAGTACCTATTACATTATTATTAACAGTTAGTCGTTGTTGCATTATTTCCTTTTTTTATTTTTTTATCAGGCAGTATTTCTCATCTCAAAGTAGAAATTAAAGCGCAATTTAAAGCTTATTTTATTTCATTATGCTAAATAAAGAGGTCTTGTAAATACAAATGAAATCCTGTTGTTCGGCAGGAAGCGGTGGGAGTAGACTCACCATCACTTAGTCGAAATCCTTGACCGTCATTGCATGTATAAGTCCATGGATTCCGATCGCGATTCTACTATAAATTCATGCTCAATTCTCGTCTTCTCTCATCACTAACCCAACTTGACACAAATCCAGCTATTTTGGAAGCACTCAAATCAAAGAATGAAGCTCACATTAGTAGCATTTACCCTTCTCTTCGCCCTGAGCACAAAGCCTCTGCTCGGAGCAGCCGGTCCGGCACCGGAGCAAGTGGTCGATACTTTCGGCAAAATACTCCGAGCTGGTGCCTATTACTACGTGATTCCAGCTCCTAACCCAAAAGCATCGGAGAGGAGTGCCCAATGGATGTTGTGGCGGTGCAGGGATATCGCGGCCTGCCATTGTCGTTTACTCCGGTCAACGCCAAGAAAGGAGTGATTCGTGTCTCTACTGACCTGAACGTCGTGTTCTCTGCCAGCACAGATTGTGATCAGTCCAACGTATGGAAGCTGGACGACTACGATGATACCACGGGACAGTGGTTCGTGACAACCGGTGGGGCTGTGGGGAATCCTGGACCACAAACAGTGAGCAATTGGTTTAAGATTGAGAAGTACGAGGAAAGTTATAAGTTGGTTTACTGTCCAAGTGTGTGCAGCTACTGTAACGTTCAGTGCAAAGATATTGGCATTTACGTTGATTCAGATGAAAACCAGCGTCTTGCTCTGAGCGGTGAGCCATACAAAGTTCAGTTCCGGAAAGCCTAAACATCTTTTCAATGACACTACAGCGTTTTATGAATAATTTTTCCTTAAGGGACATTATTCTCCTTGCTTATTTTCTATCTAAAGGTTCCCTAAGTAGGGTTCCTTGGCATATGTACTGTTGTCAACTAATTATGAGACAATAAATAGATGAGCAAGTATTTTCCGTTTCACGTGTCTTCAATTATATATATTTGAGTACTGCACTCTCATGGTTTTTTATGAAAGATTTCCTTTGTTTTGATCAAAACCTCCATATGTATCTCTCTCAGGACATCATAGAACCTCATTTGTCTCCTTTTTCCGGCTTTCTCTCTTGCACTCACATGCACAAATGTCAGCAGGTTTTGTTTCTTTTGTTTCTTTACTTGTGTGTGTGTGTGTGTGTGTGTGTGTGTGTGTGTGTGTGTGTGTGTGTGTGTGTGTGTTTAAATCCAACCTGATGTGATCGACGAGTGCGGGAGGGAGTCCCAAAAAAACTAAATCCAACACATTTGCACAAAATTGATTTTTGCTAGGATAGCATCATTCTGCATTAATATAAACGCTATACTTTTGTGGAGATATATGAGCGTTTTTCTTTTTTCCAGTTCTTTTTAGGCTTTGGTTTCTCAAAATGTACTAGTAGCTCACAAAAGACTAAATGAGTTAGTAAAAACCTCTCAGCTCAATTACAGACATCAATTCAGAAACAATAAATTTAGTGTCTGTCATGAACTCATACCACTCTTGCATGTTCAGCGAAAAAAGAGCATAAAATTTACATCCTTACTTGATTTTATGGATAGAGGTGGTTTTAGTCGGGCATGGATGAAAATAATTGTTTGACTTATTTTTAAGTAGAATATCCGTAGTCGCATATTTCTAAAATGATATAGGAAGGAAGACTAAGTTGACTAGCTCAACGTGGCTTAGTGAATGCGATCATATCTCAAATATTCAATTCTATCTTGTGTCTGTTTGGTTTTTTTATCATATATTCTGGATTCCTATCTAATGTGTTAATGAAATCTTATATACCTTTTGCTCTGTTCGTTATGAGCCTATGGGCCTTTTTTTTTTTTTTTAAAGCCCATAGGCTTAGAAACGGCTGTTTTCCGCCAGCAGGGGTTCTCTTAAAAAGTTGCAGCTCACCATTTACAAAATTTCTTGATGAATGATATTAATGTTCAAATAGTGAAACGGATCATTACAAATCCGTCAAGAACGAAGAAGAAATATGTTTGATTGTCTGATAATTATAACTTTTCCCAATCATCATGTTTAGTTTGAGTTCGTACTGAAGTATTTTGTTTGAATGGAAACAAATGAATGAAAGAAAATTAGACTCATTTAAAATATAAATAAACATATATAATTTGATATTTTTTTTCTAATCCTATTATAGAACGAAGAAAATGCTAGAAAGTTATTCAGATCATATCTACAATATTATAATTATTGTTAAATTTATGATAAAGAAACTATACCATTATAAACTATAAAACTCTAATAAGACCACACTATTCATTTGCGGTTAGAATTTTTGCTCCGTATATACGAGACTCATATATTAGAATGTATATATATAATTACCATAATTTTTTTTACTAACAATTACCATAATTTATTCTCGAAAGATTGCTAAATGAACCATATCTATGTATCAAATATCACTACGTTTGCTGCTGAAGTCGGTCAAGTACGTCCCACCTTAAAGAGAGAAAGTATAGACAGACACTACGTGTAAAATTAAAAAGAGGTTGGTTTTTCAGGCTAATTGATACTGATACTCATTTCTAAACTGAAAGATTAAATTTTCAATTTCGATGGGACCCTTTTGGAAGAAAAAAAAGATAAAAATAAAAAGAAGACGCTTTGCAATTTTGCACAGTATAGTAGACAATGCTTGCAATTTGCAAAATATATACTCCCTCTAGTCCTTGTAATGAGTCATTCACAACATGTTTCATTAAAATTAAGAAAA